TAGCATAGTAGTGATTTAAAAAAAAAATAGAAATAAGGCCTTTTGGAGACAGAGGAAGAGCTCAGACCAAAACTCTGAATATAATTTAGAGTTAAATGGGAAAGGAATTTATATATACTACTTGGGTTCAGGATTTAGAAGAGCCAATTCTAGAAACAGTAAAGATTACCACTTTAGAAACAAGCAAATGCTTTAATTACTGATAATGAGAGAATATACAAAATATAATATGGCCAGGTAAAAGAATTGAAACATTAAGATTTTTATGAACTTGAAAGAGAACATTCAGATAAACAGGGGAATATGGGGGAGGGGGGATTTGTAGTAAACGTGATGGGTAAAACCAGACTATCCCAAGTGCATGGAGGGGCCTAGCCAGCAAAAAACACCAAATCCCTGATAACCAAACGGTCAAGGCATATGGACGCACAGTCCACAAAAGTGGAATTACAAAATAAATAATCAGTATTTGAAAAGTGTTCAACCACACATGTAAATTTAAACTGATAATGAGCTACCAGCTCATACCTTTGGAAGATGAAAACTGAGGCCACCGATCCAGGAAGCGAGGAAGAATACTCAAAGCCGCCATCATGACAAAGATTATAAAATGATCCGCCTTTGTGTGCAGACAATAGGATAGAATGTAGCTTGAGCCAAAAAGTGGACCCACCGTTTGACCAGAAATCTAATTGCTGAGAACTCGCCTACTAGAAATAGATCACCAAACTCTACCCCTGAGACCAACTGTCAGCGAATTTGGCATCTCCTTCATAGGCCTGTGAGGTCAGGTGCAGTGAGCCCGTGCCCCCCCATTCAGCCCTCCTGCCACAGTCAAGTTCCAAAAACGGGCGCAGTCACAGTGCAAGTTTGTTGGAGTGTGTGTGTTGCCCTTGTGTTTGTCGGGGATGGGGATGTGACATATGTTTTGCACATCAGAATTCGTAAGTGAAATTTCTGCTCTAGGTGATATGGTAAGATCGTCACTTAACTGCCCTTGTGGGCATCATTCCTTCATTAGCTGGAATAATGTGAGGCGTGGGTGGGCGAAGTAATAGAGATGAGATCTCACCCCGCCTCACATGTGGGCAAGTGAGCAAACCCAGAAGAGCTGGCGGTGGGTCCAGCAGGGACGCAGCGGAAGGGGAGTCTCTTCAAGAATGCTAGAATTTAAAATAGATCTCATTTACCCAAATAGCAGGAGTCGTCAGTTTGCGTCTTCTTGAGCATTTGTTGAATGGATAATGTTTTAAATGAAAACAGGCTTTAAAAGGTGAAATTACCAACGAATGACAGGAGACTCTGGATTTCAGAGTCACACGCCATCAACAGGCCAGACTTTACTCCCCTCTGGATGCCAGCCTTTTGCTGTTGGTGGTGACAGCCGCCATCTTCCTTTCCACGGGCCCATGGTTGTGTGCGTGTGAGTGTCTGTATGCGGGACACAGCTCATTTATCAGGCCCCGCTATCAGAATGAACTATTCCACGTGAATGTATTTCCCAAAAAAATACAAGTTTATGTTTTTCATATATTACGTTCCGTATGCCCTTGGTCTTTAAAGAGAATAAGAACAAATTTTTATAATGAAAACTGTTTCAGTTCTGATGCTGGGGCTTAAAGCTTGATAAAATAGCTTAAGTTACTGACAGTTGAACACTATGAGAAAGAGGGGGGCACAGGCATAAACAAAATGTGGCATACCGCATAACTCCCGAGGTAACATAATTGGTTTCAAAAAATGGAAAAGAAACAGGACTACCACTTGGATGAAAAACGTAAAGTTAATGTAATATTAGTAAATAGACTTAAGTGATCTAGAAAGTAAGGAACTGCTTCAGGCCAATAATAATAGTTGTGTCTGAAATGGAGAAGAATTCCCACACTTTGCTTTGTTCATTACTCAAAGGTAGACTCCAGACCGTGATCTTTCAGCATTCGTGAGCAGGCTGCAAAAGGCCTAGACCAGAGTATTTATTAAAAGTGCAGTGTAACCTTTTTTTTTTTTTTTCTCCTTTCCTGGTTGCTGGTTAAGTCGGCTTCTACGAGGACAGTACCTTTAATTTCCTGCATATTGCTACAGAGCCCCAGCTTTTCTGTAATTCGTAGCTACCGCAGAGACGTGTTAGAAGAGCATTGTTTGTGGAAACAGGTTTAGTCGAACTGAGCCTCACACTTGCATGTCCTGTGTGCTCTGTGTCTCGTGCATATACCCTTCTGCTAGTTCATGCCCTCAGCAGACATGACTAATCGATCAGCGGATCAGATCACTCCCTCCCTCCCTGATGCGGGTTTGGCCTTGCCGTTCCCTCGGTGCTGCTGCAGGCAGCCTGTCTGGGTCCCGGGAGTTATTCACGGGCAACTGTTTTGCCATCTCAGCTCTAGATGGATGTGGGATATCTTGCTGACTGTTTGTTCATCCTCTTTTTTCGTGCCAAGTGCACTAACAAGAAACTACACTTTACTAAGGTTTTTCAAAGATGATTTAAAGGGATGGACTGTTCCATGTGGAAGCCGTGCCCAGTGTCCCCCAACCCCCCCTTAGCCAGATGTTCCTGCACAGCGAACAGTAAGGAAAAGGAGAAACAGGCTGTGTATGTAGGTTGAGCTGACTGTATCTGCTGTGCTAACCATTTACATGAAGTTCATGCTCCCGCGCCTGTCTTCTTACGGTCTGGTCTGTGCCATTTGGTTCAATGTCCGTAATTACTTGGTTACTGAATATTCATCATCACAGAAAGAAGCTGTGGGAGAATAAAGCTTCCACTGGAAACTGTCACTATGGTTAAGTATTTTACAGAGTTAGTTCAGTGTCTGGACTTAATCAAGCAGCATTCTGTTTGGATTTCAACCTTCCAGCTTTTCAGATCCACAATGAAATCCTCTTTGTGAAACTACATTGCTGGCAAAACTCCCTTTTTGGCTTCTTGCCTCCTGACCAGTAGGACCTTATTTCTCCCCAAGGAATGTTTGAATGACTGCCAGCAGCAAGTCCTGTCTCTGTCAAATATGTGGATATTTTATCAATTAAGGTAAAAATAGAGGAAACAAGCTAAGACATTTTCATCCAGATACTTCGGAGTGACCATCAGACTCAAATATGTTAAGAAAGATGGAAACTGACCGAATTATCACTGGATTGTATAAAATGTGGATGAGTCCGTGGAACTCTTCTAAAAAATTTTTTTTCAACGTTTTTATTTATTTTGGGGACAGAGAGAGACAGAGCATGAATGGGGGAGGGGCAGAGAGAGAGGGAGACACAGAATCAGAAACAGGCTCCAGGCTCTGAGCCATCAGCCCAGAGCCTGACGCGGGGCTCAAACTCCCGGACCTCGAGATCGTGACCTGGCTGAAGTCGGACGCTTAACCGACTGTGCCACCCAGGCGCCCCAAGGAACTCTTCTAAAGAGTAATAGAAATAAATCCTTTATCTGTTTTGACATCCCTTTTTTGTCAGTAATTGTACTGTAGAATCAAAATATATCTGCCCTTGATTTTTTTTTTTTTTTTAAGTGTGAGGTATTCCCTTATTTGGTATCGTCACAGAACAGAGGGTTATCTTGGACATCGTGGCAGCCCGGACCCTCCCCACCCCGCCCCCGGAGCTGCTCACCCCCGGCCAGTACGCCCCATCGTTCCTGCCCCCACCTCTGCTGCCTGCACCCTGCCACGTGCAGAAGTAGGCAATACCCAGATTGTGCTGTTAGTCTTAATTAAATTACACATTATTTCATCATGTGCATAAACCCTACCAGTCGGTACCAAACTGGGAACATGACGGTCTCCCAGGAACTCCTAGTTACAGAAGATTCGTCTTGTAGATCTGAAGCGTGGAGGACAATCTGAAAGCTTTACAGAAACATTTGTCGAAGGACACCTGCGTACCTACCGCAGGCGTTGGGAAATCCGACGTGGGAAAGCGCGATGCGTGGCCAGAGAACTCTGTGTCCTCAGCACCACTTCCAGGAGGCCCGGGCCCCTGGTGGGTGCTTCCAGCACAGTGCCCGTGGCGATCCAGCTTGCTTTCCTTCCTGCCCTGGCAGCCTCCACCATCCTTTCTAATTAACAGGAAGTGCAGGACCCTCCATAAACCAGACAGGCAGGTAGCCTCATTAGGAGACTCGTCCAGCAGCCGGAGGGAGACAGGGTGGGATAAATTAAGAACAGAGCACCCCTGACACGGACCCGAATGCAATTTCTCAGCCATTAATCAAAGCATATGAAAAAGACACCACAGCACTAATACACCTGCTGTATCCCTCGGATTCCAACTGTAGATGCATATGTGGGCTCAGGCACCGAGAAAAGAGACACTGGGGAATGCAGGAAGTGAATAATTAGATAGATTCCTGCTTCTCACCTCCACCTTGTTCAAATGTGGGACTGTTTTCTGTGTGGCATTCAGCATTTCTGGACCGATGCTCTTGGGTCAGCGTTCAGCCCCCAGAGCTGGGCTAGTTCTGGTGCCCCTTCCAAAGAATAGGACGTCCCCTTTCCCGCCTAGCTCTGGAAACATCGCATGTGAGGTTAGGGGTGCCAAGAATAGAAATGGTCCCATGCCGAGAAAAGGCAGAGTGGTCACGCTGACCTTTGTTTCGGCTGCTGGAAACCCTGTGCCCCTCGTGTCTTCCCCTGATGATTTCTAGAAAGATTAGGCAGCTAATCTCCCTCACCGCCACTATTTTATGTTTGCAGAGTGGGTCATTTAAGCAAACCCCAAATGGTCACAGCTTCTTACTGTTGGATTTGCATGTGTGAGGCACCCCGCTTCTCGTCATTGTACACGACAGCGTGCGTCCAGCCAGGACCGTCGCACGCGAAATGTTGAACCACGTTGTTTGGCATCGCATATTGTTGGCAGTCAAGGGCACAACTCCCCGTTCGGCACAAGTGCGCACGCATACGCGCACGCACAGGCTGTATTTGAGTCATATGTGGGCTTCTAGTCAGGCGCCTAGAGATACCACTGTTCATAGGAAATTCTAAATCTTATTTCAGGTCTTGACTCAGACGAAGAACTTGGGCTGCTCTGTCACCACACGTCCTATCTAGGTGATTGTCCCGGGCTCGCCGCGGGCTCTTGATGTTTTGTAACTGTCTCTTTATTTTTCACGTGTCTGCACGTCTGCATGGTTATCTGAGCTCGGAGGGTTGGCACGCCCAGGGGACGTGGGTCCTGGCTGCTGCTGTGTCTCATGCTCCCCTGGTCGGGGCGACAGCTTGAGGAGAGGTCCGTCTCCTGGGTTCTGTTAATCAGCCATGTCATCACGCGACGAGGACGCCGTTATTCCATGCGCACAGCCGGCAGCTTTGGCATTTCTTGGAATGTGGAAGGAGGAAAGCAAATTGGCTCTAGCAAATCGAGGATCTGCTAGTTGTCCCCATGGCTGTGATGTGCGCATGCCATACAGCCCCCAAGGACAGCCAATCCTGATGCTTTCTGATTGTCAGCAGCTTGCCTGAGTTTGTTTTTGTTTTTTTTGTTTTTTTTGAAACAGAGCAGTAACTGATTGGGGGGTAGGGGGGGTGGGGTAGGTAGGTTAGTGACTAAATTCATGTCCACAAAGAAACATCGCCTTGCAGCTATACTAAACTTCTGTGTGTGTGTGTGTGTGTGTGTGTGTGTGTGTGTACGTGTGTCTCCTTCTCAGACCAGAGAGTGGCATCCTTCTGCACCCTGACAGATATGCAACACGGGCAGGACCTGGAAGGTGCACAGGAACCGGCTTTATGTGTAGACCCAGGCAGCAGCAAAGATTTCATGGATGCAACTGGGTATGTGAACCCCTGTGGACCCTCCCCCTCTGCTCCCCAGGCCCACGAGTATCAGGGGTTCAGCAAAACCCCAGGAGACCATCTCTGCTCTGTGTTCCCCTGGTCCTTCAGGATCCAGATACGGGACTGAGTAGGGCTGACTGGGCTCCCTCCGCTGCTGGGTGGCTGGCTCTTGGTTGCATTAACTGCCCTGCCGTGTGGGCGGCTCCTACCTTGCTGACCAGTCTCCCCCTGCCGGGCTGTACTTGGGGACCTGCCAAGGGCACGTTTCCCCCCCAGAACCCTGGTCCTTGACCTGGCCTCGTGCCTTCTTCCACTGATGTGACTGAAACATCTCTTTCCCTATATTCTTGACAAGTTCATCACCCACAGAATATATATATTCTTTACCTAATTCGAACTTTCATACAAACTTGTGTTACCGTTAACTCGCCCATTCATCTTGGTTCATGATATTTTCTTGACAGAGAAAAACCAATTGGAGAAATCGAATCTGTATTTGGTTCCCGGGACTTCACTCTGGTCTACCTAGTCTCAGTTGGCTAAACTGATTTAGATAATTTATCTTTTGACTTTATTTTTTTTTTAACTAACATCTATGCCCACAGAGATTCTGAATCCCTTTTTAAAATCAACAGAGATGCAGAAGGAATTTTCCACCAAAGCAGCGATATGTTCACTTTCCAAATGTGACATAATTTTATGTATTTCCTCGTTGGGCTCTAAGCACATGAAATGATTTTTTGAGTGAAAACTTTACCAACAAGAACACTGAATGCAACATCTTAACTTCAGTGCCCTTGAGTCTTTCTGGTTCTATCCTTCTTCCCTAGGGAGCGGTCTCCATCAACACTGACCGGTAAAGTCAATCAGCTGGAATTGATTCTTCGACAACTGCAGACTGACCTTCGGAAGGTAAGGGGATCCATCGGAATCCATAATCAAAACTCTTGTCTTGCATAATCAACCCCTTCTAGCCAGTAGAAATAAAAATGGAGACCCTCGGGAAAGGTAACTGCCCCAGTCAAAGTAGAAAACAGTAGAAAACAGAGACTCCTGAGGTCTAATTCTGTTTTCTGGCCTCCAGCTCATGTATATCACTGTAAGAGGAGGCAAGAATTGCAATAAAGGGGACCAAATGAGGGGGAGCCCTCTGGATGCCCAGTCTTCAGAGCCTAGTATTTTGTAGTTCAGTGAGTTATCATTGGTACCAACTATTTATGGGCTGACCTAAAAGGAGGCAGTTGCTCCTGGAAAGCCTGTTCTCCCCCAAGCTGTTGTATTCCCCCCGAGTCAGCTACATGAACCTCACAACTTCTGCCCTACACGTCAACGTGTGCATGGTCAGGCCTCAAAAGAAGTTAGCTAATTCATTCCCGTCAAACGTCTGCTGAACTCTTGGGTCGTCAGCACTGGCCTAGGTAACCATCGTGCTGTCCACAGAAATGGAACAGGGTGCGGTAGCAGAGGGGTGAAGGTGGGGCTGGGAGGGGTGTCACGGGAAGGGTTTCGTTACCATGTTGTTTGTTGAAGAAGGGAGAGATTACAGCTGGTGTCAGTGCTGATGGAGGGATCTAGTTGGGAAGGAAGTCACAGTATGCAGAAACGCGGGAGGGTCATGCCCTGATCTTGTGCACAAAGCTGAGGCTGGTCTTGATTCGGGGTCGGGACGGTTCATACAGAGCGACCAGAGTAGAGTGCGTGCGAGTGTGCACTCACACGTGCAAACATACATTCACACACACGTAAGAGTTGCCCTCTAATGGTTTCTCTTTTTCCAGTCACGAGCTGAGAGTGAGTAGTGGTGGGAAGGAGTAGGAGAGGTGTAAGGGCAGAGGGTAAGGCCTAGAACAGTCCGTAAGTTCACATGTGATAGGATTGCCAAGCAAGGCTGAAGGTACATTTGAATTCGCAGCCTTAATTAAAGCTTATGCAGTATTTGCTGGCCGAGCTGGGTGCTTCTTTCCAGCTTGGATGACCAGCTGTCCAGTTCGCCTGGGGTGGAGAGGTTTCGGGGCACAGAACTTTCAGAGTTAGAACCAGAAATGTCCCAGGCAAGCCGGGACGTCACCCTACCTCCAGCTGCAGGTGTCGGACAGTTGGGGAGTGGAACGTAACCAGTTTTGAGAGTTTAGACAGGAAGTCAGGACAAGGAGAGAGACAGAGCATGGGATTAATCTGAGGGACCTAGAGTGTAAGCTGGGTAAGGAGACATACTATCACTGCAGGGGACAGTGAGAATAAGGTAAGAGAGATTATAATAATCTAGAGAGATTATTCCAGACAGACAAGAGGTGGTGGTCAGGACGTGGGAGGACGAAACATCTAGGAAGCTGTGTGGTTTATGGGTAACAGCAAGATACAGGGCGTGGCCATGGGAGCAGGGGTTGAGGAAGGGTGGGTTTCCAGATCACAGAGAGGAAGTAAGGGAGAGACTTGGATTTAGAATCATCAACATACATGACAAGTGGCAGGGGAGAGAAGAAACGCCAACCACATTCTAGAATCTTCTATCAGTGATGAGAGGAACTGGAGATAGAGGCCCAACGGCGACGTCAGCGCTGGGCTTGCAGGTTGGCGGAAGGGGGCGGGGGGGGGGGGGCAGCGTTCATGCAGCGCAGCTCCGGAAGCGGGGTTCGTCGGGCGCGTGCGTGACGCCGCCCGTGTGCCCTCTTCGCAG